AAAAAAAAAAAAATTGCCACTTTTGTAGATCAAAAAATTGAATAATGATAATTTTCCCATAATTAAATCTGTAGATACACAAATGCCCTTCATTTATTGTTTCTCCTTTTTAGTTATCTATAAGGTGATATAATAGTGATTCTTGTAAGCAAGAATTTGTTTAATAGGGAGCAGTGTTTGGCTTCAAACTTTCCTTTAACATAAATTTCCTAGAGTGAGGGAACTGGAAGAGACTTTGTAAATCACTCATTCCAGTTTCCTAATTTTAAAGAGGGGAAACTATAGGACAATATTTTCTCTTTAGGATGCTTCAAATCCAGACAAGATTAGCATTCAAGGTGGAGATTTCTCTTCTGGTCATTATCAGTATATTTAGGGTTAGGGTTAGAGTTTGGATTAAGGTAGAAGTTTGGATTTTCTTTTCCTGATCTCCAGAAAGAAAATTAAATCATATAGGCCACTTTAACTTGCAACTCTCACTTATCTTACAGCCAAAATCTAAGATCACTAAGGTGACCTATCTGTCTTGACTCACAAATGTGAAATGATGGTTAATGAATACAAATTAATTTTAAAGGCAGATGAACTGTTTATTTCTGCCATTCTCTTTTGAATTTTCTGAGATTCAGATGTTCTTCCTATTTGCAAGAGATTTTATTGATTTGGAAAGAGTTATACAGTGTGTGTTTGTGTGTGTGTGTATGTGTATTCTCAAATTCAAAAGGAAAATTAAACTTTGTCAACATCCAGATTTTTTTCTTTATTCTCTAAAAACAATGTCAGACATATGAATTCCATTTTCCCAAAGTGTTATTATTATGTAGAATGTTGGTTAAAAAACGGACTACTTATCATTTGACAGTACTTGGGTCTTGGGTGGGAGTTAAATTGAGGGATAGAAAATCTGCGTTGGTTTTAGCAACATGCCTTAATATTCCCTATGTGTTTTACTTATTCACCAAGTGTATCCTGAAGCCATTCAGATGTAATAATAATAAGGTTCTAATGATATCAAAGATAATTTTGGGATTTCAGAAATGGTGGTTTGCTGGTGACTTGTACTTAAAAAAAATTATTAATTCCTTGAAAGGATAAAATCAGGGTCTGTCTACACATTTTTTCTCTACACGTTTTATGGAGCCTAGGGAGCTGAGCAAGTTGACATGAAGGATATAGAACACATTACTTAGAAGCTGAGATGAAACATTGTCACTAGTTTTGTTAATTAAACCAAAAGGATTCATAGCAATTTAATTTGATGGAAAAGATTTCAGGGTTTCCTTTACAGCTAATTAAACTAAATATTAATGTGAATGTGTAAAGTGACTGATTAAAAACTGTTTATCTGGAAGTTGCACTATGCCCAAGATTATGCTGTTAACCCAGAATCTAGATGATGGCATAATATCAACTAAAAAGTTATCTAAAAATTTTATTAAAAATGAGTCAGTCTCACTAGGTTTATCAAGGCATGCATTTTGTTGGAGGGCCAGGAAAGAACGTAGTGTGTACATGAACATTTATCTTTATGTTAATTTGATTAGCTTAAGAATCAAAGTGTAAAAATTATTTGTTCATCTGTGTGTGCCATGGAACCAGTTAGCACATTTGCTTGACTTTCAGGCCAATTGCTATCGAACTGTTAATATGAAGGAATAAAATCCTCTCTTCTTGCTGTTCGTGTTTTCAACTAAAATGTTAAATCACACCAGTAAAAATGTATAGCAGTAAAGCATTGTAGTGTTCCAGTAATTAAAAATGAACACCTAAACTTTAGTCTACACTTCCTATAGGTAAAATAGCATAGTGCAAACATAAATATTAATATCTCTACATCAACATACATCCTTAGAAATAGATATAACTTTCTTGTGTTCTTTGAATTTTCATAGTAAAATTATTTTTTTAAAAATAAAATCCCCCAAACAGCTTCAAGTTTCGGCAATCATATGCATACTAATGATGATTGAAAGTTTTCTCACAGAAAAATTAATCAGCAAAACAGATTCTAATGATTAAAATTTATCCATCTTACTTTTACATTTGTTTTTCTCTTATTTAGGATTTACATTACTCCTATTTCCACAAAAAGGTTAAGGGAGCAACTCATTTTTTAAAACTTCAAAATACAAATTGCTACTTTAATTAATTTGGTCCCTTCAGGAAACTTACATGAGGAGCAATAGCAAGCCTTCCTGCTGCCCAGCCCCATTAAGCCTACCTGTTCCGCAGAGGTGTCCATGTGTCTTGTCTCCGCTGAGGCTGTCCCTTGGCCATCTTCTCCTCGAGTGCTGGACAGCACAGTCATTCTCCACCTCTTTAGCTTACAAGATTCTGCGACTTTTATGTGTTTTATGACAATGGTATAATGATAATACTTAGCACTTACACAACTTTTCATCTTCAAAGTGCTTTCCGAACATTTATTAATTTTACATTAGTAAAACATGAGCTGTATATGTGCCACTCCACAAATAATAACTAATCATATGACTCAAGGGGAGGCAAAATTTAAAACTCCGTCGTTGTGACTGTGGAAGATGTAGAGCCACTTGATTTGAGAAGGACAATGAGTCTTTACTCAGTTTCACATTGTTGTGGATTTGGAGACAAATGGCTGCATTTCTCACTCCCCAGAATCCACTTCCAAAGTGGCAATTTTCTTTTTTGTTCCTCTTCAATGAAAACCCTCAAAGTAATGGCTCTCCAAGCTCTAACCCTCCATTATGGTCTGAATGCTTTCCAACTCATAACTCTCCTGACTCCCTCAACCATGCATCATCCTTTCATGAATTCCTCCCTAAAATTTTTAGTGCCACTCCCTGAAACCTACAAGGTGTTGACTTTTTATTAAAAAATGGGTTTAACCAGCAAGTTTCCAAAGTTTTGGATAGCATTCTGGTTTTTACCAGCCAATTTTGATATTGGTGTGGAGACTAGATAGGATACACCTTAAACTTTAGCCACCTGGAGGAGAAAGAATTTGCCTGAAGCCAGAGAATACAGAAAGAAAAATCTAGTTATTATGCTGGGAGAGAAAGCTTCCTTAGGTAACAGTTCTTGTTAAAGAGACTCAGTCTCATCATATGATCAAGTACAATCATTATCCAACCTATGCTACCCCCCTTTTTCCCGAAACATGTACAGGGAAAGATAATCAGAGAAGTCATTGTTTGTATTAGGATAAAAAGAATCATAATGGCAGTACTTGTACCAGTTATTAACAGGACCCTGATCACATCTGTCTTCATTCTTTAAAAATTTCTACATAAATTGTACTTATTTGAGCATCTCAGACACTATGCTTTTGCCTGTGTATTCAAAAATATCTAGTATATTCTTTTTATTCTCATTTGTCTATGTAAATCCTATATATCCTTTGAGATTAGCTCAATCCTGCTTTTTCCATGTGGAGAAACATACTGCTTTATCATCTGAAGCTCATAAACTCTAATAAACTCATGAGATCTTGCAACAATATGTACACAGGGCTTGGAGTATATTAGACCAGGGCCCAGATGAGAAGTTTCCTGAATTATTGTCCTAGAATGTTCTTTGGAGGTCAAAGATCTGTATATAGGATAACTTCTTCCTTCATTGATCAAAAAATATGTATTGCACACCTGCTATGTTGTTGGCACTAATTTTCTAATTATCAAATTAGAAATAATCCTCTAAAGTGCTTAACAATCTCATGATGAAGGCAGTAAAACAAACTGAAAATTAAAACGTATCAAAATAAACACTAGATGGAGCATATATGCAGCACTACCTGAACATAGAAGTGAAATCTAATCCCCCCGTTGTGGAAGGGAGTCAGGGAAGTGTACTCAGAGCATATTTCTGACCCAAGACCTGAACAATGCATGCGAATATAATACTTAGACAGGTGAAGGTCATGAATCAGACTGGTAAAAAGCAAGAGAGAGCATTGCAATTTGGGGTGATTGACAGTTACCCCAAGGTAATTCCATCAAGGTGTAGATAGTGCAGGAGTTGATGTGCGAGTGTGTATGTGTGTGTGTGTTTGTGTGTGTGTGTGGGTGTAGTGGGTGTTGGTTGTGGAGGATGTTGAGGGGAGATGAGGCAAGAGAAATCAGAAGTATCCAGATTCTCTAAGGCCTAG